AAATTTTCTTTTTATTGAATCGGAAGGAATTGAATTTTAATCATTATCTAGTATATTTTCATGGTTAATTATTAATTAAATTCAATGATTCATATTAAAATCCTTCTATTTTTCTTCAAAATCCATAACCTCTGAGTCAGTTTCGCCAAAATTTATTATTATAATCCACGAAGTCCGAGAAAATTAAAGCTTGTTTATCCATAAAATGACTTGCTGCTTTATACATACCTGATATTTCATCACATACAAAAGATCATTAATTACGCAGAGGATTATAATCTTAGATAAAGTATCCTTTTCTTTGGCGTCTTAATTTTGCCAATCTAATACCTTACAATTCTATTATCAAGCGATTCATCCCGCGTAGATGATGCAACAAGAGAAACAAGAAATACGATGAGGGTAGACTCAAGGGAAAGAAAAGGGAAACGATTCTTTACAACTTCAGGTCAAGGATGTAATTAGTTACGGTTTTTTCTTGTCATTGCAATTTTTGATTCAACAGTAATAACTCTGCAACTATGATTTTTACCCTCGTATATGTAATGTAACTGAACAATAAATTAATGGTCTCTTTTCAACTTATAATGAATCTATTTCTATTTTTCGAGATTGCATCATATTATAATAATATATGGCGAAAATATAGTTTCTCATGAAAATTGAAAAGTTAAATTTAATTTTTGAAATTTTTATTAAAATTATTCCATCAAAAATTTATAATTGAATTAAGGTTTTAGATTTTCAAAAAATTTTTAAACAACACACGTATTTTACATTAACCAATCGATCATCTTTTCCAATTATTTTCAATTTTTTCTTCCAACATAAAAATTCCAAATTTCAAAACTACGTTAATTTTCCAAAAAGCTCACTAATCACTTAACTTGGAAATCGTTTAAAAATGGGTTCAACATAATTTATCGTAGGGATAGCTGGTGGACCGATAAACTCGGACCATTCCACGGATCTCACATACAAACGAGTCAATTAACCTTAATTGCCGCATAATCGTTTTAACCGTGCCCCGGACACGACTCATCTCTTCATGTATGCGTGCACGCTAATTATTCCGCGACGTAGCCGACTAGTAACGATAATTTCAGTAGAGGCGTCGCTATTCACGAGGCCAGGGCAACTCTATCGTGGCTTACGTTTACGACTTCTATATATATTCCATGTTTATTGAGTACAGTATGCCGCTTTAAACCCGTGTGTCGTGGAGAATGTTTGCTGCCCTCATGTTAATGGTAAAATAAAGACGTATCACTGGAATAAAGGATAACTAACATAGCTAAGTGATCTAAATTTCGGATTTTCGTTTTAAAAAAAATTCAAATGCTCGATATTATATATATAAAAATTGTTCTAAATATATAATATCCAAATCTTTTAAAAAATATTCCAGAATTTTTTCAATTTTTAATATTGAATTACTATCTGTTTAGTGATACATCATTGCAATACCTTAGCGATTAAATTAATTTATTCGAACGAAACTGACGAGAAACTGATCAGTAACTATAATCTTAAGTAGGCTTAGAATTTGCGCGAAGTTCGGAAATTTCATTCAAGGATTGAGCCGTAAAAGGAAAAACGTGGACATTTTCCACGAGAGGTCTCGTTTCACACTCGTAGCTCTCGTAGCACCCCTCTGCGATTTCCATCGTGGCCGTCCCGAATTTCCACAGGCGGCTGCGGCGGTCCAAATTCCTCGAGAGACTAGAATTCTCGAAAGAAGTGGTCGACCTTTCCTTTTTCAAATCGGCCCCCACCAATCGAGCTTCCACGAAAGTGGAAATCTTGCCGGACCGGGGCTCACCGTTCCACTTTCTAACCGATTTATCGAGCAACGATTCTCGTAATAAGCCTGCTCGTGGCTCTCCTTTACCGGATCGATCGCGTAATTTCGCATTGTCGTTTCGTACCCGTCGTCCTCCATTCGTTTTTTCTTTTTTTTTTACCTGCCGTTCGATCTTGGGAAACGCGTGTTTTCTTTCTGCGCTCAGATCCCATTACGCGAAATCCGATATCGGTGTATCCATCCATCGTGTGCGAAATCCTAATGGAAATCGACGATTAAAATGGATACGTAAAATTCTTAAGGATAAACGTTTTTTTTTTTTTTTT